AGGGGAAGCTTCCAGCAGCTTCTCACAGAAGCCATCCCTGTAGCCTGCTCACTACCAAAACCTTGCCACGCAAGCCCAAAACAATGCCTCCAAACTAAATACTACTGGTAGGCAGTAGGTTTGTGTTTCTTGCTGTTGTAAAAAAGACTTGCTGTTTTTAAAAAGACTAAGTAATATAATTGTGGGAGGCAGCAAGTGCTTTACCTATGTATATCGTTTTGTCAGTCAGATTGTTATTATCACAATATCCTTTTAATCGGGGTATGCACCATAGCTGAAATGTCTATGGAATGTTTTGCTTAGTACAAACTGAATGATGCATTTTACTGTGTTTTGCAATGTAGTGGTTAACCTGACTTCTGCTGATGTCAACAGAATTTGGTTTGTTAAGGCTTGGCCATGGCATCAGCCTTGTTTAATGTTTTTATTAGTGACCTTGGCACTAATCTTCAGATGATGTAGAGTTGTGAGATAGCATCAGTACGGAGGAGGGATAGACTAATCTAGGAAGAAATGAGTTATCTTTATAACACTGAATAGAGGAATATGTAGGGGTCATACATGTACGACCAGTAAGAATTTTTGCTAGAAACTTTTCAACTGGAGAAACCAAAAAGGAAAGATACCCGAGTGCTCTGAAGGAGGAAAATGAGCTATTTTCATGATGCAGTCTTGAGTAAGGCAAGTGCAGGAAAAGGATATATGAGGGGAGGTGGTGGGCAATGCGCTGGCGAGGCCACCCTGGCGATGAGTGTGCATTCTGCTCAGCTTTGACAGGGCACGGAGCTGGGTGCTCACCACTCACAGTGGGAGTGATACAGCTGCCATGTTAAAAGAGGAAGCAGTGGGGCAGGCTGCCTGCCTCTTGTTTTGCTGCTGCATGCTGATTCTGCAAAACCTACTGGGGACAGGAGTTGGAATGTGTTCCCCTCAGACAGGGCCTCTGGGGTGCATAACGTATTGGAGCTAAGGACTGACCCTGGAGACTTTCCACCTCCAATATTTAAGTTGGTCCCAGCACTGTTAGAGTGAGTATTAATGGTTAACAGGCTGCCCCAGCAGGGGCCAAAGCCCCTGCTTTTCTGTGTGCAATGTAACACCTCTCTCCTTGAAACGTGCTTGTTTCAGTACGTTTCAAGGACAAGGTTCAATATTCAAGAAAGCAAATCCAAACTATTACATTTGAAATAGTATAGATAACTTTATTCTAGAATAAACACTGTAATGGGACATGAGTAGTGGATTAAATAGCAACAGGTCTTATTTGTTCACATAGATGATGGCCAAAGTGGGGGGAAGAGGAGGTATTATGCAAAAGTATCAATGGAAACAAGTTCCCACAAAAGAAATGGAGATGACTGTAATGTGAGAAGGAGCCTGGCTGTTACCTGTCTGTCTTACCAGTGTCTGTGGTTGATGATGCACAGAAGGGAAGGATACTGAGGTTGCTGTTGAAAACAGGTGACAGTACAAGTGAGCAGGAGTGTTAAATGGTGCCTCTGTGAATTGCGCTTAATTCTCTGTTGTACTCTTGGGACCGTTCTTTTATGGTTGCGCTTGGAGTGATTGAAGATGTGGTACGTCTATTCTCCAGCAGCACCACCTCTAAGCTACTGGTCCGACGTAGGCAGAGAGCAGGAGGGAAGCGAGACATGTCTTCATTCCAGTGCAGATCTACTTTACAACCCCTGTCCCAGCTTTTGCTCCCCAGGCACTGCTTGAGAAGTTTATGATGGGAGAATTTTACTTGAGCAAAGCCAGGTTGTCCAAGGATCTGCACGTAGAAGGTAAAACTCATCTCCTCAGAATGACTCTAGTGCCAGCTTCTCCATAGCACAGAGCTATTGTTTGGGACAGTGAACATCGATGACTTGCATCTGCTTAACTTTGCAAGCCTTCAAGAAACATGCAATACTCCATCAGGTATTACCAAGTCTCTAGCAAATGCACTCCTGTCCTGATTGTACTTTATAATTTCAATTTAGCAGTCTTGATAGCTGCTTTACTATTCCTGGGTCATTGACAGCCCTAATGTGAAAAGTATCCAAATTGCACACCTGTGTGTACTTCTGCACTTCCCAGAGAGTGAGTCAGGCTTCTCTTTCAAACAGTACAATTAGTGTTTCTTTCACGAGATACCAGTTTCCTCTGGTGTTTATGCCAGTCCTCTGCTTCTTTGGATTGCAGATGCAGAAAAATAAATGAAAGGGATTGCCACACTTCTATGCAAGAAGGAAAACTGTGAAACCTAAGAGGGATTCTTTGATATATCAACCATGAACTGGCAAATACATCAGCCATGAACTGGCGTATAGCTGTGACAGCTTCAGATAAATTCAGGCCAACGATATTGCCAGTCACTGATTTGTACTGCAGTTAACAGGATTTAGGACCAACATTCTGGCCATGATGGGAATACTGGAGATGTCAAGTGATTTTTTGTTTGTTTGTTTGTTTGTTTTTTAATTATTATTTTTTCAGGGTTTTTTTCGGCTCCCATTTCTCTGTTTCTTCGAGCTAAACAGCCAAGCACAACTGATGTAGCAGACAGACATGGTTGTCACTCTTCTCACTACTCAAGGTACTAGTACCTTGAATAACACCTGAGTTGTCCTCCGTTACTTCTCTGGGACTTAGCTGGATAGAACTGCTGTTGGATGAAGGAGGGAAGAGAGATCACTGCCCACTTTCTGTCCCTCTTACTTGTGCTGTGAGCTTTGGCAGGGCTCTCTGGTAGGGGTGAAGGGAAAGGGAGCCAAAGGAACAGCAGCAGGTGTGGTGCAGGGCAGTGCTTGGGAACAGTATTGTCAGAGAGGTGCAAAATGTGATTTTTTATATACAACAAGTGATTGGTCCTGTCTGTATTTAGACCTATATTGCTGCAGTTGAGTATATGTACCCTATCTGCCATTAAATCTTTGTCTTTTGGAAAGCAGTGAGTCTTTGCACAAAATATATTCACATATTATATCTAAAATATAATATGTTTTATATTTTAGGTGCAGGGCTGAAGGTTCAAAAGTCTGTTCTTCAGGTACCTTTCCAGAAGGAGGGTCAGGAGATGTTAGGCTTCCTCTTAAATGTGGAGAAGAAAGGCAGAGCCTGAGTCCCATTCCCAGAAGTCAGTAAAATATTAAACTCTGCTGGATTTCCCGCCCGTACTTCCTTATCTGTATTTCGGTTTCTCATCCAGCCTAATAAGTACTATTTGGCTTAAGTGTATCTTTCAGAAAGACATCCAGACTTGCCTGAAGACATCAAGTGATGGAGAGTTCACCACTTTTCTTAGTTAATTAATGGAAAAGAGTAGTTGATGAAAGACTGATTTATTCACTGGTTCAATTGCAGCTGGAGCCTGTGGTTGATGTGAAAAAACACTGCCTTTATTTCTGAAAGAGCAGCAATGTGGTAACTTGGTTTGGTAAATACTTGTGTTTTAATAGCATCTACTTTAGAAGACAGACTAGAGTTCCTAATATATGTTAGTTACTTTTCTGGAGATACAAAGCAGAAGTAAACCATCGTGGCTGGTAAGTTGGATCTAGAATGTTTTTATATTATCAGAGAAATAAGTAAACATCAGAGAATTTTATTTTGAGCATGAGCCTGGAAAAAAACCCTGACTCTCTAACCCAAGAATTCTTAGCCTCGTGGTATTAAGTTTACATAGGTACCACATCACATGGAGTGTGATGCATCAGATGTCCCCACCCTGGTATTCTAGCCACAGGTAAAAGGAACTCTTGTGCATTGCTTTGTATGCTATTAAATCTATTTTCATGAGCATGCAGTATCTTTGTGCCTCAGGATCAAGCTACTGGTTATATTTGTGAGTATTACTCTGATAGTGCTTGATTATAAAGTTTCCATTGCTTCTAAGTGTTTATTTTAAGAATGACTAGTATTTTTTTTGTAACTTTGCAGAGTACGGATGCCAATTCAAATGTGAGGAAAAGAACGAATGCCACAGTACAGTCTGAAGCTGATGGTGGGAGCCGAATTGACACAAGGCACAGCTCCATCCAGCCTCCCTCTGTAGCTCAGGGGTCTTCTGACATTACACCCCACTCCCTTTCTGCATCAAGTCCCAACCCTTTCACACGCATCAATGCATCAGAGACATTATCTTCTGCAAGAGCTACCCCTCCAGCTCCTCCTTCTACCCCAATTTTAACTGGATTTGTATCCCAGCATGCCACAGCTGGATCCCCTTCCATTCAGCACTTGCTTGGATCTAGACTGGAGCAGATTCAGACCACCACACCCAATACATTAGGAGCATCTGCAAAGCCATCTGCTGTCACACCACCTGCTCCCCCCGCTGCCCATTCTGGCACGAGTAAGATAGACAAATATGCACGCATTTTATTTCCTGTTACCTTCGGAGCATTTAACATGGTCTACTGGGTGGTGTATCTATCCAAGGATACCATGGAAAAATCGGAAAGTCTAATGTAGTTTTGCTGCTATGTAGTAGTTCCTAAATTATACTCACATTTGATGCAGAGTTTCTTCTTTTGAAACTATTTAAAAAGGTCAATAATTCTTATTTATAAAAGCTGTGTGCTACTTTCCCATTGTAAAGGCTGGAGTTATTGGGGATAATTAGTTAACTCCTACCAGAGTAATGGGTAACAGATTTGTCTTCCTCCCTTCAGCTAGCAGTGAACCATCACTCTCTTCAGACAGACTATTCTGGCTACACAGAACTTGCCTTTGGGAGGAATATGCACCTGAAACAAATCAAAGGCAGAGGTGCACAGCTGTGCAGTGGAACACACCTTGACTGCTAGGAATATGCATGTTGATTACTACAAATCCCTGAGGCACCCAGCACTGCTGTCTGGACACAGCATTGCATTCTTGGAGTGCAAGGTCCGTGTCCTGAATATTTTGACAGTGCTTGCTAGACAAAGACTTTCCCTGCTAGATTAAAATTGGCAAAATGAGGGGGAAGAAAATGAACAGTGGGAAAAGAAAAGAGAGTCCAGCCTGGGAGAGTGCAACTCCAGAAAAGTTATGCAAAGGAGTTGTAGAGCTCCGTATATTTTTACTAAGCATTATTTTGCGTTGCAACCTGGGAAATTCTCACTCCAAAGTAAGAATGAGTGAATATTGTAAAATCTGAAATCCGATGTAATTCTCAAAATTGGAGTTTTTTGTTTGATAAGGTGATCTTAAGTATGTGATTCTTCTTTGACCTTGCTGACCAGCTTGAGTGGATTTATTCCTGAATTACATCTGTTGTGGTAGATGAGGACCAAGCCCACAATGTTCAATTTTTTATTTGAATTCTTTTTTCTTTCTTTGGATGCTTTGTTGGGTTTTGTTGTTGTTGTCGTGTCCACCCTGCCCCCCCCCCCCCCCCCCCCTCTTTTTTTCCCCCCCCCCCTGTTCTTTTTTTCATTTTTTT